GCCTCAAAAAAAAAAACTGTTTCAGACAGATTGGGCCTACAATTCAGGATCTAGTATTAATTTTTTCCCACATCATCAAAATTAGAAAAAAATGTTACTGACATTGCTATTAAGGACCTTAATTTTACCCCTGGAATTTTGCCCAGCCCCTAGAATGCTGGACTGTATAGTTGAGTTTTTATCTTATCTTGCCTGGAACCAGGCCTCCAGATCACTTTCCAGCCATCTCCATGTCACGCCACCGTGAAGGAGTATGTTCCCACTTACCAACTCCCCTTTACGTATCATCTCTAATCAGAATTTTAGGTCCCTGAGGACAGATGACTGTCTTGCCTCCTTGTATTTCTTAGGTCTTAGCACACCGCCTAGAACATAGAAAGTGTTTATTGAATGCTTTAGCTCTCTTTCTATCTGAAAGAAACCATTTAGTGACACTTCCCAAAATTTAGAAAAAGAAATTTTTAATAGATTGAAGGGAGGGACTATGTTTGGTTTTTAGTCCTTTGTTTCATCTTTTGAACACAAATGTTCTCCCCGAGATACCCTCAAGTTTCCAAGGACCTAGAGAAAGAAAAGTAATTGGAGCATCAGGTTTAGAGGCTCTTCTAAAGAGCAGTAAGTTATTTTTTTTTTGTCTTTGGCCCCAGTTTTCCAGGCACAGTAGAGTAATTGCTTAGTTCTCAGGAAGGTGATTCAAACGGGCTAAAGCTCAGAAAGTTGGGTGTGCACATAAACAAGCCATGGAAAGACAGACTTGCCTTTCATTGCTGATCAAGGATTTGAATAGCTTCATAGTGAGTGAGACAATTTGAGATCTCTCAGATGGACTGAGTGTAACAGTTTTGTAGACTGTTACAAACTCAAGGTTGGTTACGCTATCCTGAATAGGCCCAAGTTTCAAGTTCCTAGAAAAACGCATGATCTGTACTGTTACATTAGTATTAGGTAATGGCTAATGCTAAATAAGAATAAAATAGCTAGGATTGGTAGTATTATAATGAGATTCCTTGTTTCTGGGGTAGATTTTCGCGTTTTAGATTGTAAGGCTGAAATTCCTGTCCAATGGGAATTTACAGCCAGTGGTGGGTGAGTGTCTCTGCGTTAGGACTATATAACCTTTGTTCTGACCTTTGTGCCTCGCGTCGCTTTGCTCGGACTGCCGGACGAAGCAGACGCCCGCTTCTCACGAGAACGTAATAAATCTTTCACTTTATACCTAGAAAATCTCCGAGTGTTATTTTTGGGTAACTGTAGCACACAATAGCACCATAAAAAAAAACCCAGAAGTAGTAGTTCAGCCTTCAGCGAGTCATGCCATCTCAATTAGTTTCCTTTAAACCAGAGAATTATTTTAAAATATGGTGGATAAATAGGTCTTAAGAAAGTAGATTATCAATTTGGTCCCATTGTTGATCAAATTGATTTCAGGGGGGCAGCTAGGTGGTACAATGGGTAGAGCACCAGCCCTAGAATCAGGAGGACCTGAGTTCAAATCCAGCCTCAGACACTTGATACTTACTAGCTGTGTGACCTTGGGCAAGTCACTTAACCCCATTGCATATCCAAAAAAAAAATTTTGATTCCAGGGATGGAGAGGTAGGAGGGACTACACACACACACATCTACCTTTGATCATGAAAAATTTACACCAACATAAAAGGGGTACTTTTCATTCCCTTTACCAAACATAAAAGTAGATGCCCCCTGACAAAAGGTCCTAAATTTTTCAATTTATTTCTTCTCCATCCAATTCAAGCACAGGGTGATAAATAAAAAGGTGATTTCAACAGAGGAGGAAGTCAGGGCTGTTCTTGAGGTTGTACTAATATATTCAACTTGGGTCAAACAAGAGTTGAGGTTAAATGTCATGTGGTTCAAACTTTGAAAACTTTCTTTTTAGGAGTTCAGGAGATGTCCAGATAAATTAGTGTCCCCTGTGAGCTTGGGCACAGACTAATCTTTCAGGAACAAGGTATGAAAGGCTGTTGAGACTCTAACCTAGGCAACATCTAATGTCTCTCCATATTTCGAAGTTCCAGCTGACCTTTTTTCTAGACACCACCCTCCACAACATGTTTACAGAGGTAGACTTTGTGTCCAGAAATTTGCCTTCTCTTTCAGTTCTCTATTAGCAAACTGGCTAATAGACAAACCTCCCCTCAAGATACTCATCCAAATGCCCTTGTCATCGCCCTTCTCCAAGTGATTGTTCCCCTGACTGCTTTTTAGTCATATTTCCTACTATTTCCCCTATGTCACCCAACTTCCTCCCCTCAAAAGTCTTTTAAAACTCAGTTGACATCCCCTCAATCATTATTTTCCAGACTCTTCAGTATAAGCTCTAGGTGGCTACTGGAATTCCATAATATTCAAGATAATAATCTATTAGTATACCAAATCTAGTCCATGCTGATGTCCTAAGGGGAAAGGGCTAGAATTTAAAGCTGTCCTCAAAAGCCAAGGACCTACTTTCCCTTTCTTAGATTCCAGAGTAACAACCCTCCTCTCAAACCTTGACCTGGAATTTCCCTTTTAAGAGAATTAGAATTAGGAATCCCAGTCCAGCTTTACAACTGTCATAATTCTCCTCACTTCTTCTGACCTAGACAACAAGAAATGTCACCATGGGGTGGTAGAAAGAGCATTCACTGGATTTGGAGCCAGGTATTGGGTTAAAATCTTGGTTCTGTAACTAATACCTGTGTGACCTTGGTCAAGTTGCTTGACCTCTCTGGGTTTCAGTTCATCACTAAAATGAGGATAATAGACTAGATGACCTAAAAGATTCCTTCCAGCTCTAAATCTATGGTCCTATGAATCTACCTGGGGTTTCAGGCAACTTTTCTTACCCAATAGATTCATCCCCACCCTGGACAAAGGCCTAGCTTTCTGTGCCACCCAACTGGAAGAAAAACCATTTCTCACGTGTTTAATATGCTTGTACATGTATAGCTATATCAGATTGCATGCCATCTTGGGAAGGGGGAGAGAAGAGAGGAAGAAAATTTGGAACTCAAAATCTTATAAAAGTGAATGTTGAAAACTAAAAATACATAAGTAAATATAATTTTTAAAAATTCACACAAAGAAATGTGAAAGTACCATATGAGCAAAAATAAAAAAAAAAAATGTACTATTCTTCCCTTAAAAAAAATTTAAATAAAATTTTTAAAATACAGCCAAAAAAAAAAAAGGAAAAGAAAAGAAAAACCATTTCTCTCCCCAGTAAAAAGAGGCACATTTAGCCCAAGCTGGCTAATGGCCTGGTAGACCTCATAAAGCCTCAACAAATGGCAAAAGCACCTTGCTAACTCAGTACACACCATTATTCTATAGTCCCAATGGCTTTAGACTTGCCTTTTGGTACCTGTACCCTTCAAACTCCTGCTGTCCACTTCTGCCATGAGTAGCCTTACAATCAGTCTGCCCCTGACAAACTGACTCCAACTAAATCCTTGGTTTGACTCCTGGTTCCAACTGTTGGATGCCTGTCTGCCCATACCTACTATGATCCAATAGCTCCCTTTCTTGGCTGAACCTTGTCCTGTCCCCTACACCCAATGACGGTTCTCTTCTCTACAACACATCTGCTAGCCAGGTTCCATGAATCATCCCCAATTCCAGTGCCAACAAAACATACATTTTTGCAAGGTAGTACTAGAGATAGTGCTCTGACTTTTACTATTTCATCCAAATGAGTGGTATTGCTCAAGCTTGAGTTTGCTAGACTGCTAAAAAGGCAATTTACATATCTTTTCTGCACTATACAAATAACTTTATTGTTTAAAAAACAGTTCAATTTCTGTACTATCCAAAAATTTCCTCTAGGTCCTTATGTTTCTCTTCTATTCCATTGTCAAATTGATCTTGCTAAAACACACATCTGACCAAGTCATCCCCTCCTTGCTAAATAAATTCCAATGGCTCCCTATCACCTCCAGAAGCAAATATAAAATGCCAACTTTTGCTTTTAGAATGCTTTTTAACCTGCCTCTTCTATCTTTCCAGTCTTCTTATGCACCTCCCCCCATGTATTCTGTGATTCAGTGACACTAACATCCTTGCTATTCTTCACAAGCACTCCATCTCCCAACTTCAGCATTTTCACTGGCTGTCCCCCATGCCTGGTAGTCTCTCCCTACTCAGCTCTGCCTCCAGGTCTTCTTGACTTTCTTTAAGTCTTGGCCAAAGTCCCACCTTCCACAAGAAGGCTTTCTTAGTCATCCTTAATCTTAGTGTCTTCCTTCTTTTGATTATCTCCAATTTATCATGTATATATATATATATATACACATGTATACACATATATGCATATATGTGTATATATAGATATATATATATCCATATATTATCTATACATCCATATATAGACCCGTATGTATACACAGATACCTATATGTGCACGCATATACAAATGTGTGTACACAGATACATATATGGGTGTGTGTGTGTGTGTGTGTGTGTGTGTATACGTTATATATATATATATATATATATATATATTATATATATATATATCATGTTTTTACATAATTGTTAACATCTTGTCTCGCCCCATTAGATTGTAAGCTTCTTGAGAGCAAGGACTGTTTTTTGCCTTTCCTTGTGTCCTCAGCATTCAGCACTCCACCTGGCACATAGTAGGCACTTTATAAACACTTCCTGACTTTACGTCTGACAAGACAAGTCAATGCTTTTACTCATCCTCCTGTCAATTGTCACTTTCTCCTCCAAAAATCATAAAATGTAAAAAAGAAATACATAGAAAGTAGACTTCCTATAGTAAAGTCAGTCCCTACTTCAGTTCAAATAAAAATATTAAGAAATAATATTTTTCCAACCAAAACCCTTTCTTAACTTTTTCTTGGCTAAATAAGGTCATTGACTTCCCATTACCTAAAGTAATTGGTATTCAAGGTTAAGATACTGATAATAGGAAGGAAGCTTTTTTAGTAATTGAGAAGAGTGGTCAAAGGAGTAATTGAGTAGTGACAATTCTAGAATGTTAATCCAAAGTTTTATTTTGACCTAGTATATTTTCCTTATTTAAGATTCATATAAATGTTATGCCAAATCATCTTACAATATAGAGACATGTTAGAGGGAACAAAGGACTATACCAGTTTGTACATTTCTCCAAGCTAGAAATGCTTAGATAGTAGATTAATGATAAATTAAATAAAATGGTTTCTGGCAGACTTCAGAGTACAGTATTCATATTTTTTTTTCTTCAACACTACTGAAATCTTAGGATCTCTGGACCTCCCAAATTCACAAGACTGTCTCCAGGACTGGATATATCCATCTTGGAATCGTCATTTGGTTACCTATTAAAAAACAAAAAAACAAAGCTGAATAGCCAGCTGAGGTCCAAGGCCAAGACTCAGCTCACCTAGGCAAGCCTCTGCGTTAGTGTCTGTAGGCCGTAACTATTATGCCACCAAGGTGGAAGAAAAGGCCACCACCTCTTCCTTATCCTCTCACAGAAAGTCAGTTAATGGAGAGCTACATAAGATAGCCAAAGGAAGAGAGAAAGTTACAAATTATCTCTTCTTTTTAATTTATATACTGCTTCCTGCCTCTTGTTAGAAGCATATTTCTCTTAGGGTTGAAGTTAGGTGACTTGGGCTCAGGGAAAGAAACACCAAGAAGGAGAGACAGTCAAGGACTTGAAGTCTAGTGTCACCCAGAAAAACACATGTTCTTATTTTCATTTGCACATATTTAACCATGACTGCTGGGGTGAGAGGGAAAGATGGATAACACAAAAGAAACACTTCCCCTCTCCTTGTTGAAAGTCTGAAGGAGAGCTGATGGTCTCCTAAGAAATATGCTCAAAAGAGAATTTTTCTTCTCCCTCCCTTATATAACCTACTGAGTCAGCAGCTTTTTCTGGTTCAGGCATCAATCACCTTCAATGGAATCCCTCAGTCACAAAGATACATAAGGACCAGTCAGAAGGTGCTTCATCTCTTCTGCACCCCAGCAAAGATCTGAAGAGGATCCCAGGTGAAGCAACAATAAAGAGTTCCTCCCAACCCCCTATACAAAGTAAGCATGTACACTTAATCCAGAACAGAAAAAAAAAAAAGGAAGGAAGGAAGGAAGAAAAAAAAGAAAGAAAAGGAAGGAAGGAAGAAAGAAAGAAAAAAAGAAAGAAAAGGAAGGAAGGAAGGAAGGAGGAAGAAAGAAAAAAAGAAAGAAAGAAAGAAAGAAAGAAAGAAAGAAAGAAAGAAAGAAAGAAAGAAAGAAAGAAAGAAGAAAGAAGGAGAAAAAAAGAAAGAAGGAAAGAAGGAAAGAAAAGAAAAGAAGAAGGAAGAAAGAAAAAAGAAAGAAGAAAGAAGAAAGAAAGAAAGAAAGAAAGAAAGAAAGAAAGAAAGAAAGTCCATAAGCCATCATTGTTTCTGGGAAGCCAGCTCAAATCTCAATAGACAGGAAAGTGACTGTACCAGGGGAAAAGTAAATAAAAGAGGGAGTAAAACCTCACTAAATACAGTGAAGAAATATTATGGTTTCAGAGAAGCCCAAGAAGTAAACTCAATCTAGTAGAGCCATATAAGGGGAGAAAAAATGGCTTGATCACAAACACTGTGTGATGATAGGAAATGAAACGAGATACAAAATGAAATTAGAAATTAAATCAAAGCTTTGGAGGGGAAAAATGGGAAAAGATTAAATGGCTTAGAACAGAAAGTATAATAAGTAAAATATTCCAAAAAAAGAAAATGTAGCAATCAGAATTCAATGACTCCAGGAGACAAGAAATTATTTAAGTCAAAACATTTTTAAAAACAGAAGAAAATGTAAAATAGCTACTATTAAAAAAAATAACTAAAGTGAAAATCAAGTTCAGAAGAGAGAATATAATAGTCATTGGACTCCCTGAAAAACATAATCAAACAAAACAATTTGTATACCATGTTTCAAAAATAAATGATAAAGGAAAACTGCTCAGATCTATTAGAACTTGAGGACGAAGTGAAAATTTAAAAAAATCTACTGATTGCCTCCTGGAAGCAAAACCAAGCTTAAAACATCTAGGAATTTCATAGCTAAGATCCAGAACTTCCAAATCAAAGAAAATATACTATAAAAATATTTTTTTAAAAAAGAGTTCAAGTATCAATGAACCATAGTTAGGATCACAAAAGACTATGTCAAAGAAGAGAAGAACCTTTGAATGCAGTATACCAAAAAGCAAAAGATAAAGGCTTTCAACAAAGTATAATTTACACTGAAAAACTGAGGCTAATCCTACAGAAGAAAATGCAGTTTTAGTAGAACAGAGGACTTCTAATCACTGCTGATGAAAAGACCAGAACTAAGCAGAAACTTTGAAATACAAACATGGAATCAAGAGAAGCCTAGAAAGGTAAATGTTGTTTAGTGTTTTCCAGTTATGTCTGAGTCTTTTTTGACCCCATTTGGGGTTCTCTTGGCAAAAAACACTAGAGTTGTTTGCCATTTACTTCTCCAATTCTTTTTACAGATGACAAAGGCAAATATAAAAAGGCAATTGGAAGGGGCCAAATTATGGTATCTTTTTTAAATTCTAAAGTGGATAAAAAGACTAGTTTCCTTTCAGAATACTATTATCTCCAAGGGCCACAGAGAATAACATAACATAAAAACACATGGACTAAGTATGATTTTGTTGGTTTTAGGAGAGGGAAGAAGAGAGGAAGAAGGAGGGGGAATTACTATTACTCATAATTGGACATTTCAGGAAATTCAGTTTATATCTGAATCTGACACAGAACAGTTAAACACAAACACAAAGAACTTAGTGTAGAAATATATAAACGTAAGGAAATAGATGAAAAAAGAGAGGTAAGAGAGGAATTAAAGAGAAAGGGCAGAGTTGGAGATAAAATAGTCATAAGCGAAATAAACACAATGGGCAGCTAGGTGGCACAATGGATAGAGTGCTAGAGTTAGAATTGGGAAGACTCCTCTCCCTAAGTTCAAATCCAGCCTCAGGTACTTATTAGTTGTGTGACTCTGGGCAAGTCACTTAACCCTGCTTCCTCAGTTCGTCATCTGCAAAATGAGATGGAGAAGGAAATGGCAAACCATTCCAGTATCTTTGCCAAGAAAACCCTAAAATGGGGTCATGAAGAGTCAGACATGACTGAAAAATAACTGAACAAAAAATAAACATAAACTTGAGAGGGTTGATTATAAAAGAGAGATTAAAGAGAGAGAAAGAAAGTTTAAGAAACGGAGGTCAGAGTCTGATCTTGTTGAAGAGAGGAGGAGCAAAGGAGTAAGAACAGACTGCTTCAATTATATATCATAAATTTTAATCAGATTCCTTCTCTTTCTCCCCCTCATTCTTTGCCAAGGGGGAGGAGGGTACTGTTTTGATTGTATGAGATGAACAAAACAGAAGAGGGTAGCAGAATGATTTAGAAAACAGAATCCAACAATATTTTGTTTATAAGAAAGAAACCCGACAATTTACACAAAATTTAAATGAGATGCTGGAACAGAATTTGTTATGCTTAAAGAAAAAATTAAAAAGCAATCATTTCAAACAAGGAAGCAGAAAGAAGAGATTTGGTCAAAACGGATAAGTATGGAAACTAAATGACACCTAAGAGCACCATAGATAATGAAATAATATCACTATATATGCACTAAATGGCATAACATATAAATACTTAAAGGAGTGTATGGGGTATTGAGGTAGGATTAGCACCTCTAGTGTGAGGTCTTGTCAAGCCCTATTCAGGGATGCTCATCCACCTGGCACTCAACTCTCACCTGCGGCTCCAAAAAGCTGTAATATATGCAGCAGCCATACCCCAGTAAATGGTCTCTGCAAATGAGCTAAACCAGGTTGAGGGTAACCAATGCAACTCAAACCCATCAGTGAGTTGGAGGGGTGTCTACCCAAAACATGTGAAAAGTTCTCCCAGCAGAATGGACAGATGAGAATAATTTGTTCCAAAAGCCATGAAGGTGGCTGAAGCCGGCATTGTAGAGGGCTTAGAGCTTGGTCAGACATTGCAGACACCAAGGTCATCCACTGCCTCCCAGGCCATCAAAAGTTGTCTTAATGATTCTGAAAGAGAGAGTGAGACTGACAACTTTGTGCAACATTGCCTGACTTAAATTCAATTCTTGCACAAGTCAAGACATCATCCTGATAGGGTGGGTCCAAGCCAAGATCTTAGCCCTTTGACCCAAAGGGAATCTGACTCCCATTTGTCTACATACCCCAGCCCCTCATTTTCCTTTGAAAGACTTAGACCTTTTAATCTTATTCAGGTGTTCCTTTGCCCCTTGCCCTAAAAAGAATCTGGCTTGCATTTTAGGTCCCTTACTGACTCCCCTTGTCGACTCCCCTTATCTCCCTTTGAAAGCCCTAGCCCCACTTTTTTGATCTCATTCAGATGCCTTTCAGTTCCTTCATTATTTATTCCCATTGTCTATTCGATCTCTTAGACATTCCAATAGGAATTCTCACCCAGGCCATTTTCCCAGACCCTTCCCTGGTCACCCAAAGTCACTTTAGTATATAAGATCTACCCTGGCCCACATTCAGATGCTGAGAATCTCATGCCCCAAAGGCTGAGCTTTTCTCATGCCCGCTTGTCCTTATGGGCGTCACCTGACCTATGTGATTTATCAGTAATAAACTTTTTCTCTGGCTGGAAGAAGATTTGAGTTGAATTCTTTCAGGCAGGGCCCAGCATCGCCATCTTGGGGGTTCCCAGAAGCGCCCCAAAAACCTCTAGACCTCTTCAATCCCATAATGTCATTGGTTTTCTTAGTAAATGAGGGACAAACGAGAAATTCTTAAATGAAAAGTTAATTGAATTACAGAGATAAATAGATAGCAAAGCTATAATAATTGAGGGCTTTAAGAGGCCATTTTCAGAAATGGAGAAATCGAACAAAAAAGAAGAAATAATAAGGAAAGGCCTTGAAAAGGCCATCTACATGGACACCTCCACTTTTCTCTCTTCTCATTCTCTTCTTAATTCATTACAATCCAGCATCCAACCTCATCATTCCACTGAAACTGTTTTCTCCAAAGTTACCAATGATCTCTTGTTATTGTTTGTCCTTCCTTCTTGAAGAGGACCCTGACATCAGGGACATGATGCCACGACATGCAAGTGAATTGGATTTAAGTGAGGAAGTGATGGGGTTAGGATCTGGACCCCAGAAAGGAAAAATTAGGGACTTTCCCTATTGGCCAAATCTCTGGCATTCCCTTGAGGGTATAATTCCATCAATTAGCCTTTCATTGTGGCTACACCCAATCGCTCAAATCTGTTACCCTTAACCTAGCCTAGCCTTCCATTGTCTTACCTCC